CCTCCACCTCCTGCCAGTCTCCCTGGGGTGGGGCCAGAAGCCGACTGTCCCTGGGAGCAGGCCTCTGTCTGTGACAATCTCCTGCATGTGTCGATGGCAACGAGATCTCCAGCCATTGGAACCGGCTTCTGCAAGACATTCTAGGGCCAGAATCACACGCTGACTTCCCCTTCCTGTCTTGAAATCTCACATCTCGCCACAGCCCAAGCGCTGACACTCATGCCCGCTCCGTCCCAGGCAGGTCTTCACACGCACCCGGCTCTTCAAATTGGAGTCAGGATTCACTAGCTGTCCTAACCGGGCACCTGCTGTTCCAGTGCGCTGTTCCCAGACACCCCAACCCAGAGGGAGACGCATCTCAGCTCCGGGTGAGCAACCCCTGGGCAACGTCGTTTTGTGGCTGTTCCCCAACTGCCCCGCCTGGAGGTGGCTGCATCTCAGCTTGGGGTGAGTGATTAGCATCTGCAGCATGTACAATAGGATAAGAGATGTGAGCTGCTAGTATTCAAATATTAAAAGAAGTAATGAAGGGATAGAGCTGGGACAGGCGGCTGGGTCCCAGGACTCCTGGGTTCCATCCACGGCTCTGGGGGGCGTGTGAGGTATAGAGGGTCTCAAAGCCAGGACTCCTTGGTTCTGTCCCTGGCTCTGGGAGGGGAGCAGGGCCTAGTAGGTTACAGTGTGGGATGGAGGCAGGGAGTCAGGACTCCTGGGCTCTATCCCAGCTCTGGGAGCAGAGTGAGGTGTAGAGGGGCTCAGAGCCAGAAATGCTGGGATCTATTTCCAGCCCCATAAGCAATATGCAGCCTGCCCCTGTTGCAGGGAAGCCACAGGGAGCCCCAGCCAGAAAGAGGGGAATTTGGGCAGGATGCTGGTGCTGGGGTTCCTGAGAGAGCATCTCCCCCCAACCCCGTCCTGTCTGTACCCACTTCCACTTTCATATTCCCATGCATGCCGCTTCCCCAGGCTCTGAGTCACAAACCCTGGAGAACCTGGGCTGCAGGTTCAGAGACCCAGGCTCCGTGCCCCACTCTGCAGGTCTAGGGGTGAGTGGAACTAGGGTGGGGGAGGGAGCTGGATGGTCTGTGGCAACTGGCGTGACCCTCAATCCCGACCCACAGCCCTTTGCGATCCCAGCCCTCGCTCCCTGCCCCCGCAGCTCTGAGAGTGCCCTCCAGCTCAAGCAGTGTCCCGCCACAGGGCTCCCCGACCATGGGGACCACACTGGAGGTGTTGGCTCTGGGGGCCACGTACAGCAGGGGGTTCCCCAGCTCTCATCTCTCAGCCTCCTTCCCGAGAACACCTGAGGGCATCAGAGGGATGCTGGGAAATGGAACTCCTTGGGGTTTCCCCTTCCCCATATGGATAATTTTGGGCAGCAAGGACAGCAGATACCCCAGGTTGAGCACATATGTGCAAACTTCTCACCCATAGTCCAACTGCGCCCACTCTATTGCCCCCTATGGAGTTGGGTCAGCACAAAGTGAGTGTGGCCCCCCAGGGATGGGGATTGAGTCTCGATCTCTCGGGGCTGGCCCCTTCCCCTCCAGCCCTGGGCAATGGGGCCCATCCCACCCTGCTCTGGCAGGGGATGGTGCATGGGCCTTGGGGGAATCCAAACTGAGACCCACCCAGCTCACTGCAGTGGATGGGGTAGAGGCAGGCAGAAGTGAGAGGCCCATCCCATTTAACAGGAAAAGACGGGGCGGGGGGAAGGTGTGAGTGGCCCAATTCACATGTAGGGACTGGTCCCTACCATTCTCAGAAGAATGAAGAGGATGGAGGATCCATAACACTGATAAGGAGGAGTGTCCCAGCTACAGAAGGAGCAGGGTGTAGCAGGGGAGCAGGGAAGGCAGCAGTGGGGCAGGGAGAGCAGCATTAGCGCCCCCCTTTCTGCAGAGGGGGGAGCCATGAGTTCTCTGCAGCACCCCCACCCCAGGGATGATTTACCCACATCCAGTTCCACTAGGTCCCTGCAGAACCAGCCCCTCACCGTGCGACGGTGACACCATCACTGCGGGGGCGGGCCTGAGCCAACAGGCTGCAAAGAATGTGGTGTTTGGAGGCAAAGCACACATCTGTGGATTTTAAAAGCCAGTTTCTCGATTTTGAAACCATTTTCAGCCAAGCACATGATTCTTAGAGGAAATCTCAGGATTTGTTAGTGAATTTTGGAAGCGGGGGGTTGCCAATGTCATGACATTCACATTAACTGTCGGAATTCTTTAGCAAATCCTGGAATCACAGATCCACAGGTGAGAAGGGACCTCAGGGGTCACCTAGTACAACTCCTGCCAAGGTGTAGGATTGGTTGGGTCTAACCCATCCAATACAGATGCTGTCCAGCCTCCTCTCGAAACCCTCCAGGGAAGGAGTTTTCATGACCTCAATGGGTGTCTGGTCCATTGTCCGACTGCTCTCACAGCTGGGGAGTCTTCTATGAGATATAATCTCAATTGACTCTACTGTAGTTTGAACCAGTTGCCCCTCATCCTGCCCTGTGGGGCGAGAGAGAACAATCTTCTTGATGGCAGCCTTTCCAATATTTGCAAACTGCGATAATGTCCCCTCCCACCCCGCCAATCTCCTTTCCAAACTAACCATGTCAAGTTCCTTCAGGTTGTGCCCCTAGGGCTTCCATACCACCCCTTTCATCATCTTTATCCCTCGCCTCTGGACCTTTTCCAGTTTCTCTACATCCTTTGTATACATTGATGGCCAAAACTGGACACAGTCTGCAGCTGAGGCATAGAGTGATACTGTCACCTCCCTTGACTTGCATGCTATGTCTCTGTTCATGCAACCTGACATTGCATTTGCTTTTTTGCAACAGCATCGCATTGCTGACTCATGTCATGGCTATGATCTGCCACAACTCTCAGCTCCTTTTCAGCAGTGCTGCTGCCAGGCCAGTTCTCCCCCATCCTGTATTTGTGCATTTGGTTTTTCTTCCCTAAATGGAGCACCTTCCATTTGTCCTTCATGCATTTCATTGTGTCCTCTACAGCCCAATTCTCCAATTATCAATATTCCTCTTAATTCTAGCTCCATCTTCCAAAGTGTTGGCAACCCCCACTAGCTTTGTGTCATCTGCAGATATGATCAGTCTGCTCCCTAGTCCTACATCCAGGTCACTGATAAAGATGTTAAACAACACGGGACCCAGAACACATCCCGGTGGAACCCCACTTGAGACGTCCCTCCAATCCCACGTCATTCCATTAACAGTTACTTCTTGTTTGTGGTTGTTTCACCAGTTTTGTATCCACTTAATAGTACTTCCACCAAGCCCACATTTCTCCATAAAAATGGCCATATTGGGTGAGACCAAAGGATAATCTAGCTCAGTATCCTGTCTTCCGACAGTGGCCAGTGCCAGGTGCCCCAGAGGGAATGAACAGAACAGATAATCAACAAGTGATCCATCCCCTGTCACCCATTTTATAGACCTCTATCACAGCCCCCCTTAGTCGTCTCTTCTCCAAGCTGAACAGTCCCAGTTTTATTAATCTCTCCTTTTATGAAAGCTGTTCCACACCCATAATCACTTTTGTGGCGCTTTTCTGAGCCTTTTCCAATTCCAGTTTGCGATAGGCCCACCAGAACTACACGCAGTATTCAAGATGTGGGTGGACCATGGATTTATATAGAGGCAATATGATATTTTCTGTCTTATTATCTATCCCTTTCTTAATGATTTTTGATGGCCGCTGCACATTGAATGGGTGTTTTCAGAGAACTATACAGAGTGACTCTCAGATCTCTTCCTTGAGCAGTATCAGCTAATTTGTACCCCATCACTTTATATGGATAGTTGGGATTATGTTCCCCAATGTGCATAATTTTGCATAGATTGACATTGAATTTCATCTGCCATTTTGTTATCCAGTGACCCAGTTTTGTAAGATCCCTTTGTAGCTCATCGCAGTCAGCTTTGAACTTAACTCTCTTGAGTAGTTTTGTATCATCTGAAAATTTTTCCACCTCACAGTTTACCCCTTTTTCCAGATGATTTATGAACATGTTGAACAGCACTGGTCCACATACAGAACGCTGGTGGACACCACTATTTACCTCTCTCCGCTCTGAAAATTAGCCATTTATTACTAGCCTTTTAACCAATTACTGATCCAGGAGAGGACCTGCCCACTTATCCCATGACACCTTACCTTGCTTCAAAGCCTTTTGGGAGGAAACTTGTCAAAGGCTTTCTGAAAATCTAAGTAAATGGACTAGGTCACCCTTGTTCACATGCTGTTGACTCCCTCCAAAAATTCTAGTAGTTCAGCGAGCCATGATTTCCTTTATAAAACTGGAGATTTTATACATTGCTCTAGTAGCTTTCCATCTGTTGAGGTCAGGCTGACTGGCCTATAGTTCCCTGGCTCCTCCTTTTTCCCTTTTTAATGATGCCCACTCTGTTAGTCCTTCTCCTGTCTTCTGAGACCTCTCCTGGCATCCAGGAGTTTGCAAATATTATTGCCAGTGGCTCCAAGGTTTCTTCAACTAATTCCTTTAGCACCCTGGGTTGAACAGCTTCCCGCCCCACTGATCTGAATTCATTCAAATTGGTCGGAACATCTCTGACGTGTTCGTTACTCATTCCGATTTGCAGCCTTTCCCCTTTGTTGTCTGTGGTAACTTCACTAGTCGCTCGCTCACATGTTGGTTTTTGGTGGGAAGACTGAAGCAAAGCAAGACACGGAGCAGCTCTGCCTTCCCACCATCTTCTGTCACCAGATCAGGATTTTCTGGCCGGTCTCATGATTCTTAGAGAAAATCTCATTTTTTTTCACCAGTTTAAGGATTTTTTTAGCCCACGATCTCTCGGGACTTTCTGGTGATTTGGGGTTTGCTGTGTGGGGGGAGGTCACTGCGCTGCCAGCAACCCCAGATCAGTCCCCTTCAGAGCCCAGCAATACTGATGGTCCCCCAGGCAGATCTGCATCCCCAAACAGCTTCTGCTCTCACACTTCTCACCCCCCGTCTGTCTCTAGGTCTGTCCCAGCCGGACGCCCCAGCCATGGACAGAGCCCTTCTGCCACAGCATAACTTCGGGGAAAGGGAGCTCCTGCCTCAGGGCCCCCTCTGGAGAGCAGGGGGTCCTGCCACGCTGAGGGTCCTGATCCTCGCCCTGCTCTGGAGGGGTAAGTAAGCAGCACCTGCAGCCCCAGTGCAGGGGGAAGGTCAGATCCTGCACTAAGTGGGGCCAGGTCTGTCCCAGAATGTGAAAGGGAGACTGGCCAGAGTGGGAGGGGAGCCTAGTGCCCCAGTGTGGTGCTAGGGGGCGCTGAGTGACAGGGAGGGGGCAGGGGGCTCGATGGAGGGAGGAATGAAAAATAATGGAGTGAGAATTGGTCAAGGACCCAGGGCTGGGATCACATGGGGCTGTCACTCGGGAGTGAGGGGCACTGATAGACCTCGACGGGGGGTTGAGCTCAGGGCTGGGCTCGTAGGGGGCTGCAGGTCGGGAGTGAGGGGAACCTGCAGTGCTGGGGGGTGCCGCTCAGGGTTGGTCTCTGTTCTCTATGGATCCTACTTCCATCCCTCCCCGTCCCCTGCAGGGTCCCTGTCCCAGCCACCTGGATTTACCCTGGCGGTACCGCAGTCGGTGTCTGTGCAGGAGGGTCTCTGCGTTTTCATCCCCTGCAACTTCACGTACCCAGCCTCGTACGACACCGACAATCCCTCGGCCCAGCTATACGGACAATGGTACAAGGAGCCTGCTACTGCGGGCCAGGATCCTCCTGTGGCCAGCAGTGTCCCCAGCGTGAAGGTGTCACAGGAGACCCAGGGCCGGTTCCGGCTGACGGGGGATCCAGCGCTCGGCGACTGCTCCCTGCAAATCAGTGATGCCCGACGGACGGATGCGGGGAGATATTTCCTTAACATCGAGAAAGGCATGTTAGATCACACTTACCGCTCCAATTCCGATGGCACTGCCCCTGCGCTCAGGATCTCAGTGCCAGGTAAGAGCAGCCACAGTCACCGCTTGTGAGGGTTCCCCCCCACTCTGAACACTGGGGTACAGATGTGGGGACCGTCAGGAAAGACCCTTAAGCTTATATTCTACCAGCTTAGGTTAAAATC